TAATGTCTTTATATACTGTACGTACGCCTACAGCAGTGAGCCAGAATGTGTTACATCATATTAAATGTGCATGAAAGAGCATTATGCCAGAGATGCCTTGTTAAAATGCATAGAGCTGAGATATAGCAGCAGATGAATGTCCTCACTTTTGGCTCTTACTCTTTCAAGCCCTTGTGTCTGTCTTTCCCTTCATGTCACTTTTACCTATGCAGCTTTCTTCCGTGGTAACAAAGATCAAGTGTGCATGAATACAGTAGCAACACGCTGAGCCTCAATGTGCAAAAAATGAGAATTGTGGCTGGAGGGATTCACTAATGGAGGCAAAATAAAATATACGACTGATCTGTGAGGGAACAGGCCACAAAATAGAGAGAGTCCAAAATAGATGAAACAATTAAGTAGCTCTGTGGCTACTTTTATTTAACCGTCATCTTTTTTGTAAACTGCACCACTGAAGAGAAATGGTTTGCCAACAGTTATTACAAATAATTAAATTGGACTGAACACAGACCTATGTCTTGGGCTCTTCAACCATGTTTTCCAAAATGAGAGTGTTTTCATCTGTTTGTTTGTTTGTTAGCAGGATTATGCAAATAACTACCGGATGTATTACCTCGAAACTTGGTTGAGGGATGCGCTATGGGTCAGGGGAGAACTCATACAATTTTGATGCAAATTCAGGTCAGGGGCGGATCCAGGATTTTTTTTTGTCTTTCGTAATCTCTTTCTTTAACGTTGCGTTTTTCAACAGTTTTGATTATTTCCTGGAGATTAATGAATTGATCATTACAACAGGCACGTTTCAGGGACTGATATTTATGAATGTGTGAAATTTGGTGCAGGTCCAAATAAAAATCGGGATCTTGTGGATCTCAATTTCATAAGGGTATACGCTCTGTTCCAGTTGCTGTATGGTAACCAGTACGGCACAAAACCCGTAACTACCACCAATGTGGAGCTGGAAAACATAATGCAGCCTCAGTTGTCAGATTTGCTAACTTTTTTCTGGGCAGTCAGATAATGTAAATACTCATCCTGCAGTCGCAGCATGCACATAGAGTATATGACACCATGCAGCAATGTTTTGCACTGTGTTGTTGTACAAAGGCTCAGTCGTGCAAAACATCTACGAAAACTCTGTGACTGTGTTTGTTTTGTGTGACAGCTTGTGTTGCTTCCTCTGAACCCTTTTTTCCCCAGTGTGAGAGCTGGTCCATTGTACTAAGTGTGTCAACAAAACCAGCTGAGAGGCAGCCCCGCAGTCCACACACACACACACACACACACACACACATACTCCGGCTGCAGAGTATAATCCTTAGAAGAGGGAGACTGGGGGTGAAAGAGGGGAGGCATTAAAGGAGGGAGAGAGAGATGGAGAGAGAGTGAGAGGGCAAAGGAGAAGTTTAAAGTGAGAATGTGGGAAAAGGAAAGATTGGGGTGAAAAGAGCAAGAGATTGAGCGATGGTGGAGTCAAATTTGACAGTGAGCAAGACAGGTATAAGAAAGGATGAAAAGCATGGATGCCAGAGAGAGAGAGAGAAAGAGAGAGAGAGAGAGAGAGAGAGATTTTAATGTTTCAAAGGGTTCCCTATCACAGTGTCTGACATGTTACATACACAGCTCACTATCACCCAGACCCTGACAGCTACACAAATTCGTTGAAAGAGGTTCCCTGGGAAACAGCTTTGATCATGTGTGTATGTGTGTGTGTGTGTGTGTGTGTGTTGACAAGAGACTTAGTACATTTTCGCATACCTGGACATCTGAGTGTGTATGAATGAAGAAAGGCTTCTTTCTGCAATAAGATGAATGTACAAAGATAAAGCAGGCTGTGTGTGTGTTTTTTGCGTGTGTAATGGGAATAAAGGCTGCTAGCGCTGTCATGTTTTTGTGTGCATGTATATATTGCATGTAATGGAATTGTATTTGTAATCAGCCATGTGTGCAATGTGTATCCTCTTAGGCAATCGTTGTAGTTTTCATTCAAATGGCGTCTCTCGCTTTCTCATTTCTGCCTGGAAATCTGTTTTATTTGTATCTGACACTTCCCATCAAACATCTTTCAGAGGTGGTTGGTAAACAAAACCACTTATATAGAATCGGGCCTCAGCACAGTTCAAGCAAACATGCACACACACACTTACCGCACACTACCGAGTACTGAGCGAGTGAAAAAATGTTTCATGAAATCTGAGTTTACCTTTTTAGAATGATTATGTTGACATGTTGCATTATGTTCTAAAGAGAGCTGATATTTGATTTACACACATGACAAGCCATTCATCATGTATTGAAGAAACACTATTTTCTATTACCAGTGACATTTAGGGCTGCGATTACTTTCAGTATTCATCAATCACACAGGGTATTTATATATATAAAATCTCCCTCGCACCCAGCATGGGGTGGTACGTCTTCCTCAAGCTCGGGTCCTCCATCAGAGGCCTGGGAGTGTAAGGGTTATGCACAGTATCTCACTTGTTCCTATAGGACTGCGCTCTTCTGGACAGAGGCTTCAGATGTTAAACCTGGGATTTGCTGGTGCCACTCTCCTAGTTTGGGTGTCACAGCCCCCAATGCTCTTACTACCACTGGGATCACATTGCATTTCACCTTCCACATCTTTTCTAGCTGTTCTTTCAGCCCTTGGGACTTCTCGATCTTCTCATGCTTCTTTTTACTGATGTTACTGTCTGCTGGGATTGCCACATCTATCACTACTGCCATCTCCGTTCTTGGTCCACCACTACTATGTCCAGTGGGTTAGCCAGCAGGTGCTTGTCAGTCCAGACATCTGAATTTCCACAGGATCTTAGTTCTGTTCTTCTGAACCACCTTTCGATGGTGTGTCCCATCGGGACTTGGGTACGTCTTATCCATAATCAGCACAGATGTTTCTGTACACTATCCCAGCAACTTGGTTATGCCTCTCAGTGTACACTGTCCCAGCCTACATCTTACACCCTGCTACCATGTGCTGGACTGTCTCAGGGGCATTTCCGCAAAGCCTGCCCCTTGGATCTTGTCTGCTTTGGTAGACCCTGGCCACTGACTTTTCAGGACTTGCCTTACTCAGTGTAGGTATTTGGCTGTGGCGGATTTCCTTCTGGCTTCCTCATAATTTGATATATCTGTGCGTGTGTGTGTGTGTGTGTGTGTGTGTGTGTGTATATGTATATAGCACAAATAGAACCAGGTCAGTATGCGTCAGGTTTTCTTGATAATAACTTAATTTATTAGCGATTACATCTCTATCACCTGATTGATTCGATCCAGTCAGTTTCAGCACTTTGCCTCATCTGTAGCTTGAGTAGCCAGGCAATATTTTCTCAGTGAACACTGTGCTGAGAGATATTGTGGGCCAAATACTGCATATGCAAGGGCTTTTAGAAGACACATGCAAATAGAGCAGTATTTGTCACTTCCATTAAAATGAAGTATTACCCAGTGTAGCTGTTTTTTCTTCTCTGTTGTTGTTGATGTCTATAGGCTCATTCTAGGCTGTTAGTGTAAGGCACTGGCCTGTAAATGACACTGCTCCACAAGCATCGCCTCCTTTTACCGCTGAATGTCTCCTGTACATGCATTCAATCCATTTAGTGCTGCCAGCAGAACGCTGTGTGTATGTTTGTGTGTGTTTGTCAGGCATTGTGCGCGAGTTGAGCAAAGTACAGGTAATGGATTAATATCAGAGCTGGCTCAGGCACCACATTGCTGTGTGGTGACAGCCTGTCATTATCACAAACACTAGCTCTCACACACAAAAGCTCATAGACGCTAACAGGCATACAGTATGTGTACGCACATGCAGGCATACAGCCAAGTACACTTTGCATGCAAGCGCATATGCTCTTACTGTCTGTCTTCACCCGTCCCTCAAAACTTGTCATCACAACATGCAGAGGAACTGGCCTGTGATCATCTCGAACTGCAGTAGCTTCTAGACCTGACTCCTTTGTGTCTGTTATGAACGCTGTTGTCATTCTATCATTCCTCCAAACTTAACCTGAAAGTTTACCTATAAGGCAGCAGGGGTGCTTCTGCACTGAACCCACATCAGTACTTAGATTGGCCTTCCTCCCTGCCAGAGAGTCATTCTATCAAATAATTTAGTCAGTACTGAGCTGTGTAGTTGGACAGTGCAGGCTGATTGGAAATGTTTGAGTAAATTAGGGCTGATTAAGGGCCCAGGTCTGGATTTAACACTGGATGTCTTGGTTTGTGCCCTTTAAAAATGGTGTTCAATAGTAAATGTGTCTTGTGCAATTTTGCATGATTGAAACATTTCCTTTAAATAGATGAAGGAAAAAAGAAAATCAATGGTATCAAGAAAATGTCATCAGATTCCAGATGATTAGCCCTGATCAGTTTGAACTGGAAAACAAGCTAAATGATCACATTTTAAGATATGTCAAGACGATTCCTTCTTTTTAACTGCTGATTCAGTGCACAAACACACACACACACACACACACACACACACACACAGACAAGAGAGGACACACACTCTATCCCTCTCTTTATCAACACTTTGTAAAACCTCTTCATCCTTCAGAAAGCTGTTAGTGGTTCGAAACATCTCCTGATCCAGAACATGACATGTGTTTGGTCATGTTGACGATCTTTAAAGCTAACTAAAGCTGAAGTTATTTCTAAGATGCTGCACAGCCCATAAATGTTATTGATACAAGCTCATAGTAAAACTTACCATTATCATAATAAGCACAAGTAATTATGCAAATCCTGCTTCCTTAATTTGATGTGCTTCCTGATGAATCAAGACACTGCAGTGCATGGGACTTGATGCAGGAAGAGATTATTCGGATGGAAAAAAGAGTTTTAATTTGTTAAGTGGGTAGAACTCAGGGGCAGAAACTGAGTATAACTTTGCCTGACATCATTAGATTATGGCACACAGATGGGGGGGGGGGGGTCATTTTTCAGTGTTTTGTGACCTTAAGTGACCTTTCTTTCTCTTTTCCTCTCTGTCTCTGCAGCAGTCCTATGCTCCTCCCCCTCCGCCCATGGCCCCACCAAGTCCTGGCACCACAGGAGGAGGAGGTGGAGGTGGAGGAGGAGGTCATGGAGGAGGGCTGATGGAGCAGCTTAGTAAGACTAACCTGTACATCAGAGGCCTGCCGCCAGCCACCACTGACCAGGACCTCATCAAACTCTGCCAGCCGTGAGTTCTGTTCTGTTCTATTTAATATGACAACACCCACGTGGGTTAAACTGCATCCTTTAGTGCAGTTGCAGAGCTTGGTTCATTCCTGCTTGTTACAGTTAGGCTTGTGGTTATTAGTAACTTGTGAGTCCAACAGCAGCTTCTAATGAGCATCAGCAGTTTGCTTGCTTGACCTCTCTCTGCGTCCTCAGATATAAAAATACAACCCAACTGGGGCTAGCCCATCCACTCTCAATGGGTCACCTACACACAGATGGACCCTAGGATATACACATAAATCCCTCCCTCCTCTCTCAGCAGAGGTTTTACACCCTGCAATCTCTCAACAGATCTACACACTTTTTCGTACAAGTCATGTTTAAAGACATCAGTATATTTAGATGTCAGGTATCAGAATCAGAATCAGAAATACTTTATTAATCCCCGTAGGGAAATTAAAATGTAACAGAGCTCCAGAGAAAGAGGTGAAAGAGCAAAAGCAGGTGTAAACATCAAGTAATAGTAAAATGAAATAAAAGATATACATATGTAGAAATAAAAACCAGGTATGTATAGATTTACATTTGTACATGAATGTAAATTAAAGTATACACAATATACAGTATTAAGCTTTATAAATTACAGTTGTCATTATACAATTTGACAGCCACAGGCAGGAATGATTTCCTGTGGCGTTCTGTCGAGCAGCGTGGGTGGATGAGTCTGCCACTGAACGAGCTGCTAATCAAGACATTATGGAGAGGGTGTGACGGAAAGTCCAATATTGTCCTTACTTTCTTTGGACAAAGTTCTCCTCTCCATTTTCACTCATGTCATCATAATAGTAAAATATTAGTTGTGATCTGTGGTACTATCATATCCTTACACATTAAGTAGAGCGGTGATTATCAAATGGGGGTCTGCTGAGCCCTGGATGGTCTGTGTCACACTACCAGGGTCTCTGTGAAAAATGTCTACATTCATCAATTAAAATTACAATATTCTGTGACGACACAGTAAGAATATTTTTGATATATCTTTTAAAGACATTCCTCCGGTGTTTTTCTTTCCTGTTGTTGTAATTTGACATTTCTCCAAGTGTAAAAAGCAGGTCCTCAGAATATTTTCTAGCTTGTAGGGGGTCCTTGGCTGAGAAAAAATGGAGGATCTCTGATATAGAGCACTCCAGGGTCTGAGCAGATCAGTGATAGTGGTGTATTTCTGTTACCATTGTGATATGAGACTAGAAAACCAACTTCACAGCAAAAAGATTTTACTGGTAGAGACTTCAAATGAAAAATTTACTAAATTATGTTGGGCAAAATAAGAGGAGAAAGTGATTTGATGTAAACAAGAGTCCATTTGACTCCTCAGGTTAAGGGGGTGAGGCTTTAATAAACACACTGTCTTTTAAATGTTCAAACATGCTATCATTCAAATGTAAAATCACCATAAACTGGCAATAAGCATTAAAATATTGACATATGGCGCCAGCAAATTGATAATCTTATTTAGTCAGGGTGACAATATATTGCTGTATCTATATTTTGTCCCGTCGTGGCAAAAGTGGTTTAAGGGATCTGGATTCTGTAGAATCAGACTTTTCACCCTTTCTCTTTCTTCAGTCTAAAATTAAATCCTGTCCATTTTATTCTCAGTTGTCCCCATTTGGACAGAGTGAACAGAATGTAGATGAGCCAGCTCTCACATCGCCCACAGCTAACACCTGATATCATTAAATGTAATTGGAGAATCATATATTGAGCTAAATAGTTTTTAGTTAAAAGCTATAAATGATTTATTTAACATTTTTAAATGATCTAATTTTTTTTTTGAGGAGAGCAATAGGTAAATATATAAACCAGAATATGCAGAATAACACACACACACACACACACACACACACACACACACACACATACCTTGCCCTTCTGCGTGTCAGCTGCAGTTCAAGCCTGTTGTATTTCAGCTCAGCCCTGGGGGCGTTCTGGAGAAAGAGGGTGAAAAATGGGTGCCAATAAAAGTTTCATTAGAGGCCCAGTGAGTGTGCCAAGTGCCCAGTAACATTTAGGAAAGGTCGGTGGGGGAGGGTGGGTCTGTGTGTTCTGCTGGGCAGCAGTCTCAGTCCTGGGTTTTTCAACTCTCCCCGGATTTTCAGAAATAGACTTGAGTGGCAGTTTCCTGTCACTCACTGGCATGACATGTACACATGCACACACACAGACACACAAACAGGCATTTCATTCAAGCACACAGTGACAATGAATAAGGGACAGTCCCTTGACACACACACACATACACACACACACTCTTTCAACTCAGTGTCATCCTCAACCTTATTGTCAGCAAGCGTGGCTTCTTTTCTTTTTTGTGTGTGTGTGCCAACCCGCCCACCAGCACCATTCTCTCCCTTCCCATTCTGTCATCCTCCTCATTTCCTGCATGAATCCTTCACTCTCTCTCTCTCACTCTCTCTCTCTCTCTCTGTCCCCCTCCCTCTGTCCCTCACCCATGCCTCCCTTCCTCTCCCCCTGTCTCTGTGCCAGTTCTCAGAGTGTCAGTGAAAAGTGCTGTTGTCAGCTGACATTTCCAATCACTCCCCCGGTTGCCCAAACTATGGACACACTTTTAACGTCTGGGGACAGAGCAGAACGTGAGCGGAATCTAAAGCGTGGCACAAGGGCGATTTCTCCCTCGCACGCTCGCCTTCACTCACACTTGTTGTCTTGCTGTCTCTCCCTCTCTCATACTTACCACTGTGTCTCTACTCTTACCTATTTATCGATGGATCTATATTCTGTGTACTCTATCTGCTCATCTCTATTTCACGATCGAGGGGTTGTATGAGGACACACAAGCTTTAACCACTCAAAGCTACTCAAAGGAGAAATCGTTTAAGAAGAACATGATGCACCGAATGAGTTTACAATCTCAAGTTAATCATCAGCAGATCACTCCTCAGGTCTTGCTCTGAAACCTGCAGAGTTGCTAATGGAAATGTGAAAAGCTTCACATGAACGTGGTTGATGTTTTTGTAGTGGGTGATTGTTTTGAAACCTGAACCCTCAACGTGCATTTCTGTCTGGAAATATAATACCTACTATATCAAAGTCAGATTCCATCTTTAATCATCAGTGTTTTCAGTGACATCAAGTCATCCTTTAAATTTACAACACAGTGCTTTTTTCCACCATGGAGGAAAATCTCCCTAGATCTCATATCTTTATAGTGCCTGAAGATGTTAAACTACATATGGGGAATGAATCTGAAGACTTCTGAAGCAGTGTTGGTCTGTTTGAGTCTAACTGGCAGAGCGGGGGGAAAATGAGGGAAACGCGAGAGACAAGACAGCTGTATCGGATCCCCAATTAGGAGATACCACACACAGGGACCAACCTGCGCGTTCGCTCATAAACACACACCCACACCCACACACACATCCACAGCCTCAGACAGAGAACACAAATCCTTCAAAGTGCATAACGTGCAGATATACAACATTTATATATACATGCAGAGACATCCTGGAGAGATGTGGAAATGATGTGTGTGTGTCGGTGGGAACTTTGGTTCAGTAGACATCAAACGTTGAGCATCCATAGGCTGGCGCTGCTGCACAAGGGAATGAAAGCAGATCTGATGCTGTGAGGGCCCTCTGAGGACTGTCATTAACACTGCACACACACATATACAGACACACACAGCCAGTGCGCACACTGATTTTGTCAAGCCTGACAAATTTGGGTGCATTGAGTTGGCATTGACATTCCTCCTTAACTCTCGACAGTCTGGGAAATACTCTCAGTTTCAGTGGCCTCGCTGTTCGTTGTGTTTCACACGTCTGAGTGGGAAAAAATCAAAACCCCACTGTTTGTCAAGAAGTCTGAGGAGTTTCGATGAAGAGGACACCTTGTCCTAAAATGATTGTCATAGTGAAAGTCGTTCTGTCAGCCTCACCCCCCACCATTCCCTCCCTGACTGCTGCTGCTGTAGAGAGGCATTCTTCTCTTGCTTACAGTGCTGTGTTTCAGGGCTGTGTCACAGTTTTGTGAAGCCAAGGAAAACAGAGAATTTTAAGTTAGCCGGCAAGTCTTAGAGTAGTTTATAACTTATGATCCAAAGACAAAATGCAGAAAGGGAGTTTTTAAGCATTTTCTCAGTATCCTGTATAAATACTTAAATGCGAAAAGCAGTGGTGGAGGAAGTACTCAAACATTTTACTGATATAAAAGTACAAACAAATAAACAAAAATGTACTCAAAGTAAATGTTTGCTTTTAAATATACATAATGTATTAAAGGATTTGCTGAGTGTGGCCTATTCCCTATAATGCAACAGTCAACTACATCATTATGGAGTCTCAGTGGAGGCCTCTTCCAAATCCAATTTATTTGCTTCTTCACTAGTGATACCTCTGCACAGGAGGCGGAGTCTTCTGTTACCTGACTTCTCTGACCAGTCATACCTATAATTGATTACTTTTAAAAAGCAGCATGAACATATAATGCAATGCATTGTAAAACATGATGTGGGGTAGAAAGCACAGATATTTGCTGATACATCTACTTAAAGTACACATACTTGGAAAAAGTACAGTTACAAAGTATTTGAACTTTGCCACATCCCACCACCATTGGATGGATTTTGTAAAAACAAAATCCATCCAATGGGCAGCAGATCTGCAGATGAGAGAAGTCAGAGGAGAATGACCAGACTAGTTCAAGCTGAGCTATGGTTACACAGATTACTAATCTTTACAAACGTGGTGAGCAGAACCGCATCTCAGAAAGTTCAACATGTCAAACCTTGAGGCCGATGGGCTACAACAGCAGAAGACAATGTCCAGTGGCCATCTTGTCAGCCAAGAAGAATCATTATTGCTGCAGTGGACATATGGGTCCATCAAAACTGGACATGTGGTGACTGGAAAAACAAAGTGCTGTGTGGTGAATCTGCTTCCTGCTGGATCTGCAGATAATATGTCCAGAATTCAGCAACAGCATCAATCTATGGACCCAACCGGCCTTGTGTCAACGCTCTAGGTTGCTGGTGGTGTTATGGTATGTGGAACGTTTTCTTGGTTCTCGTTAGGTCCGTTATAGCAAGCAATATTTTTTTAATACCAGACTATGAGGACTGTTCCAGACCATGAACGTAACAAAGAATTCAGTGAACTTCAGTGGCCTCATCAGTCAGCAGACCTGAATTGAATAAAACAGCTCTTGGATGTGGTAAAACAGGAGTTTGGCTGAAGAAATGTGCAGCTGCAGAAATTATGGTATGCAGTCATGTCAGCATGGACCAGAATCTCAAAGAAAGGTTTCCAACATCTTGAGGAATCGACGCAATGAAGACCTGAGGCCATTTAGCGAGCAAACAGAGGCTCTGCACAGCATCAGTAAGGGTTTCTTAAAAAAGTGCTTGGCGATCGTACACGAGATAAGTTACATAAAAGATCTAGCTGTGGTTTCAATCACTCTGCCAAGCTTCACACATCACTACCATTACTGATTCTTTAGTTACGATGAGCATCCAACGGAAACACGTGACATAACTCACATCCCTTCATTTACTGTTTCTATGGAACAGTGGATCAGCAACAGAATAAGGAATCACTAACTCTGGGCCCTCTGGCTCCTTATAATCCTGTCATGATATGTTTTACGTATTTGAATGAGGGACTCAAGTGTCCCTTTGTTGGGTCAAGTGCAGCTCTGTGTTATAGAAGGTAGCTCCAGGCTCTGGCTGGAATCAATGGAAGGCTTCCAGGGTTGAACACAGAACAGGACATTCTGCTCTTTTCTCTCCACTTTTCTTGAGCCACACTATCCTCAACTTCATCATCTGATCTGTAATCAATACTTTCTTCCATTTCTTTACCACAATAGCAGATTCTTCTAGCTTCCTGGATGTAATGGAATTTTACCACTGAGTCAAGTTCAGATTGAGAAACCATTTTGGATGATGCAGTGTTGTTGTAATTTGACATTTCCCCAAGGCCCGTGGCGTCATCCCTCTCTCCTCTCACATTTTTAGTCCAGATGAAATGTGTAACCACAGATGGAACAGGTGGATTTCTGCTTGTACGTCACACGCACTCATCTGATGATATCACACACAAATGTCTCCAGACATTAAACATACGCTGTGTTTGTTCTCCACTTTGTAAAAACAGACAACTGTGAACATATGTTTTTAAGATTCAAAATGTGTCAAGCCGGGTACTTTGTCTGTGTCTCCTACACACTCACACAGGCACACACACACACACACACACAAACACACATACTTCTATCTCCATGAGGGCACTCATTGATATAAGGCATTCCTTATCACCTTATCCTAACCATCAAAAGTAGAAAAGTACACAGAAAAACACACAAATGCACAAACAGAATCTGGAAACATTTCACTTTTCTGCCAGCAACAACAACATGCCAAAAAGATGCATGAGGTCTTTCTCATGCAGTCACACTCATTCCACAAACACACAGGCACACACACATTGACACATAATCAAAAAGCACTGAACCCACACATGTATTTGTATGCTGAAAAGTGTCCGGACGCATACACTAACACATGCACTATAGGTGTTTACACTCACACACTGACACCAAGTTTTATTCACATGGAGGCAGAAGTCAACAAAAAGCTGGATATGGCAGATGCCGTGTGTTATGTGAGTGATTACCGCTCTGGTGTTTTCTCATCTGTGCTGTTGCCTTGCATATGTGTGCATGTGGATGTACTTTTTGTTTGTGCGTATACGTGTGGGCGATTAGTCCTGCCTTTTGTTTTTTTTTAGAGTATTTTTCCACGTCCACAGCCGTTGGATTGCTGCCCTGGACCACAGGCCAAAGACCTTGTTTACCACCAGCCATGACTTTGTAAAAAAAAAACAAAAAAAAACTTCCGGGCAAAACATCAGGCTGGATTTCAGCCTGTCACAATCGGCAGATTTATAAATAGCCTGAATCTTTATTAAATTGAAGGGAATTCTGTGAAAATTGAGCATTGTTCAGGAGAAAAAAGCTGTGATTTTTCTCTCTGCCAATTGCGAGATCATAAGCCGCTCAGCTGTCATGTTATGTGTGATAGCAGCCTTTTAAAGCTTTTTTTCTGTCTTTATTTCTAAAGTCTCTTGTCCCAATAGAGTTTGATTTGAGGCTGTCAGGCGAGCTCGTCTCTGTTCTCCTCTCACTGACAGAAGCAGTTGGCTGACAGAGGCTCTCCTGATGGTGACAACTAAATGATCTCTTCTTTATTAAACACCTCTTACTATCTCTCTCCATCGCTCCCTGACTACCACGTTTCCTCCTCGCCTTCACTGTCTCTTTTTATCTTTTGACTGACTGCTCTTCCTCTCCCCATCTATTCCTCATTCCTCCGAATCTCCCGCTCGCTGCCCTTGCTTTTTTTTTTACCTTCTCTACTCGGAACCTCGTCTGTTGTATCCTTGACCTGGTTTTTCTGTTGTTTTTGTCTACCTCCTTTTTTCTTTTTTTTTTACTCTAAAAGCAAAGAGGGAATAAACTTTCATCCGTCACCTGGAGCCGGCGCCAGCCAGCCAGTCAGTCAGCTTGTCAGTCTGTCAATCTATTTGATAGTCATTCAGCCAGCCAATCAGTCTTCGTGCGGCAATGTTAAAACATTAATTAAAAAGTCTCATCCACTGAGCCAGGCAGCGATCCAGACTGATCTCAGTGATCCGAGCTTTCTGTCTCACTCCCCCCCTTCCTCTGCCCCCTCATTTTCCTCCCTCCTCACACCCTCTCTGCCTCCGTTTCTTGTTCGTCTCTTTCCAGGAGGAATGAAAGGCCGGGGCTGATAAGAAACATTATTAACTTCTTTCTGAGAATAGAGAGCTGGAGAATAGAAGTGGGATGGAGGGGGAAAATAAGGAAAGAAGACAAAGACAGAGGCAGAGGTGTTAAATATAAGAAAGAGAGTGAGGTGGTGGAATGGACGGGAGACATTAAAATTTGTTAGAGAGAACAGAAGGAAAGCGGTATGGAGGTTCTCTGTGTCTGTCGTAGGCCCCTCTAGCAGGATTGGCTGCCATACAGATGTATGGTTATTATCATCGTTTATGAGACAGCTCTGGCTGTGCTCTGAGGCCTGTGGTTGGGATTTGAAATAGATAAGGGCAGAGTGGATAGATAGAAGCATATGTAAAAAATGTAACCGTGAGATGTGGACAGACCGTGTTAGAATTAGTTTTTGTGCAAATTTTTATTTCACCTGAGCTTTTTTCAGGTTTAAAAATTAGACATGAAGTTATTGCAAACATTTGTTTTGAGGATGTGGTTTATTTTCTTATGTAAACTATAAATGAATGTAAAACAACTGTAAAACTTTGAATGAAATGCTAATATCAGCATGCTAACATTCTCACAATGACATTCCTAACATGCTGAAGTTTTGTAGGAGTTTACAATGCTCACTATCTTACTTAACCATGTTAGTACATTTCATAATTTGCAATAACACAAAACAAAGCTGAGGTGTATATGGATACACCACAACTTTTGCGAATAATGACTATTGGTCATTTTTACCATATGAGAGTCTGACAGTAAGATGCTTTCCACCAAATGTTCCAAATCCTTTACCAGGGTTAAATTTCCTCCAGCGCTTTGTGATTTGTGTTTTCATAAAATGGTCAAAGCCTCAGTAAGATAAAGCAAATGAGTCAGCTAATGTAACAAAACTGCAATGTTGTTGGGCAACAAAGCCTGAACTTGGTTATTGCTCCTTGATTCAAGAAATCTTTTGGACTGCTCCATCCTAATTATTATCAGCCACAAAACAGAAGTATTACAAGATAACACACATTGAGTATGCCCCCTCTACCAAAGAGGGGATATCTGTATCTATAAGGTCAATAGCTGTTGAGATAAGTTAAACAAATGTAAAACCCATGGTGACACTAAAGCAAATGTCAGGAGATCAGTTTAAGGTTCAGTATGAAAGATTTAGGAGAAAGGGATCTATTGGCACAAATTGAATATAAAATAATTCTCATGATGTTTTCACTAGTGTGTTTCATCAAAATTGTATGAATTGTTGTTTTCTTTACCCTAGAAGAGACCATTCATATTTAAATACTTTATATCTACATCAAGGGGGTCCTCTCTAGGAGGCCGCCATGTTTTTTACATCAGTCCAGACTGAACAAACTAAACACCTTTTGAGTTTTTATGACAACTGAAGGCTACCACAGGTTCTTTTTCATGTTTGGAAGGAGGGGGTGAGGTGAGGGGAATTCAGCTGCAACATACAATTGTACCTGTACACTGTACCTTTAAGTCATTTGTACTCATCCTCTGGAGAGTATGAATATCCATACAAAACTTTGTGTCAATCTTTTTTTTCACTGATGAGATTTTTCTAGTCAGGACCAAAGTGGTGAGCCGACAGAATGACCTTCAAACACACACTTTACCACCTTAGAGTCATGGTGCTAGTGTGGCTAACAACTTATATTAGACTCAAAGATCATCATATCGCTCCAGATGTTTAAAACAAATGCCATAGTGATTGAACATTTAAACAACATTGTTGTTTTTTTTACAGATATGGGAAGATTGTATCAACAAAGGCCATCCTGGACAAGAACACCAATCAATGCAAAGGTGAGTGAGCATCCATTGACTTCATCCACTGCGGTTATCTGTCACCCTACAAAGTCACCCTGCACCCCACCACTCAGATTTTCATATGAGATCTGAGTCTGGAAAACATCAATTGAGAATTGATTGAACTTGGCAGCTTAAAGGCAGAACAATCAGTGCAAGACAATCAGAGGGAGAGGTTCTTTTTTTATAAGCCCCTTCCTCTTTTACTGCTTTGAATCTCTAATTAATCATTGCCCAAAGGTTTTTACAATGGGCTCAAATGTCTTTCAACAATCGGGGGGGATGACAAATCAAAACAGATTACTTCAACATGCATGAGCTGCCTGCATATCCAGTTGTGTGTTCTGTATGGATGTGGGTCCTCACACTACAACACAATAGTATTGACTTCCATAATGATCAGGCCATCCTTTAATCTGTCTAAATGATGCACTGCCAGAGCACCCTCATTTTTTTCCCTCCTCTATCATAATGATTTCACCCTAATAATACTGAGTTAAACAGCTTTTGAAAGCAAGACGTTTGCATTGTTTTCATTGGCCAAATCAAAAACGAAGCGCACGGAACAAGAGCTGCAATGTGTTTGAAATCGTCTCTGTGGTGAACGAGGCACACTCAAGTGTCTTGTGATGAGGGTCTGCTTGATTGTTGGAGTGGTCTCAACAAAGCTCTAATCAATATGATTGTAGTCGTCTGCCTGTGAAGAGGCGCACAAGAACATGTGTTCGCCATGATTGCTTTTCATCTGCCAGGGCTGCTCTCAAAGGTGCACTGACACAGTTTAGGACAACAGCACAAATGCCCCGTAATCAGCATATCAACTTCACTAGAGAGAGTGAGGGGAAAGCCAGTCTGATGGCACCAATGGCAAACATGTAAATGTAGATTCTAAGACTTAATGTGCTCTGATTGCAGTCTTACCTGACTTAGCATTATAATGAGTAAACTAAACTTTAGTGAAGCTACACTGAAAACTGTTGTACTTTATTTATTGTCTTTCTAATATCTTTAAAATGTTCATATACAAAAATGATTGTATCACTTAATATGCCCAATATTATTTGGTTATTGCTTTTGCATATTGCTTTCATTGTTTTTGTACTTTGTATTGTTTATTGCTCATCTTTTCATCATTGGCTTTACATTTAAGAAGTATCATTTCTAATATATAATCATATTGTAATCAGGGCATATTTGAAAAAGACAGCTTGCACTCCATTGTATTCCCCTAAATAAAACTTAAAATGAATCAATGAAACTAACCAGTTATATATTATATAAACTTCAGAAAATCAACATATATCATAGATGTATATGTATATTTGTTCATGGCATAGATCTCAATGAGCCACACTCTTGGGCTGGCATGTTCCTTCATTACAGTGAGCATAGAATCTTTAGTTTGATTTAAATCAGTTGCAAATACACTATCTTGCTACTAAACAACACAATTGTATTATTCCACAGCTGAAAATGGTCCCTAGCAAAGTTATGTATTTTATTGACTTTAATCACAATTTGCTAAATACAATGTCCAGCAGTTTGAGGTAATTACTTTACCTTTTAAGGAACCAATATTTGTGACTCTTTTAAATATTAATGTAAACAGTGGGGGTGATTAAGCTCAGGGCTAAGAGCTGGAGACATTGAAAGGACATTTTAAGTACTGAGTGACAGACTATAAGAAAAATATAAAGGAGCACTCATCGTAATCCCAACATATACTTTCTGCTATGGCCTGGACTTCTTCATCTGTTAAATGTCTCCAAAGGTCTGTGTGCATGCAGCCTGGAATTAAAGACAGTGAACAAGTATGTTTATGCGGAAACTGTTGATGTATAAACAAAACATCCTGTCTCCTGGATTTCTCCCACATAAGAAGTTCAGTGATTGAAAGTCAATGGCAATATTAATAATGCACTGAAAATAGACATGACTAAGGCGCTGCGTTCTTTAATCAGATGCAGGTCATCAGATGCTCTGCAGTGTCATTTGCCTCCGACTCAAGCAGCGAGTTGACAGCCTGGTTTAATCACTTTCACTCACATTTTGTGCTCTAACGTGGGCGGACTAACAATCCATACAGACATAGAGTTTGAATTTGTTGCTTTAGGAGTTACCTGAACAGCTCCAAGTATGAGCCGATGTATGTGTGTGCATAAATTCTATGCACAAGAAATAAAAAAGCTAAAGATTTGCAAGGGTAAAAGATTTATGGGTCCGAAATTTAGCTGCGCCCTAAAAGGAGTAAGAAGAGTATTTTATGGGTATTTATAAAGATTAAGGGCGGCGGGGGCCGCTCAACATGATGGTTGCTCAACACTGTTATTCATCAGAATGAATTGAAATGCAATGCAGAGGAAGCACAACTTTTACTTGCAGATAATGAGATGACAAACATTTAAACAATCTGCTCCTTATGAGAAAAAAACAGTTTTCTGTACAATCTGTGAACTTAGCTATTTTGTTTGCCTAAATGATATCTGTGCATATAGGAATACTCTGTGCAAAAGATCCTGGCACTAAATTCCAGACGAGGCTTTTATGAATACTAAACATTAGTTAGACTGTTTTAAAATGCAAACCCATACACACAGCTATAAATTCATGCTTATTGTTTAATGTTTAATACCCAGAATGCTGCAGCTGCAGATGCATAGGCATTTTTTACAGCCTGTGGCCCCATGATCAGTTTCACTGCTTGCAATGTAGATTTCATGCATCTCTTAGCCACGACATTAACACTATAACTGGTTTTAATGTTGCTGATCGGTGTGCGTCTCTCAGCCAGTAGTTAACCCACAATGAAGGAGTTTCATTATCAGTCGGCCATTAGAATGCCTTACAACCGGATAAGTGTTGGTTTGATTGCAGAGACGTTCAGTGGGGACAAGATAAGTGCTTAGCGTGACTAAGAGAGTACAAATTGGCACAGAGAGTTCTTTTGGAAAAGGGGAGGGATGGATGGGAGGAGGCACAGGGAGGCTGGAGGGGAGGAGTATAAAAATAACCAGCGGCTGACAGAAAAAGGAAGGAGACCCTTTGAAACTGATGATTTATCAGACAGAGAAGAATGAGGGTTAGAGAATGTGATAGATCATAAGCTACTTTCAGAAATTGCCTGAAGTGTGGATGTTTTCCTGAAATTTTCCAGAGGGGCCGTATGTGACAACACAAATGTCTGAGACAGTTGCCCCGAACATATTCTGGAATTTTTTCTGCTTGCCCCCTGGTCAAATGTCTGGGAACTGTATGAGTCAGCCCATGTGAGAATGTCCAGAAAATCCACAGAGGGAATGTGAGCCTGTTGCTCTAACACAAGCCCAAAACTGCAAAATACGAAACAAAAGTGTATCTCAAGATGAAAAAGAGGTGCACAAATTAGCTATAGAGAGACAGGTCAATGAATCAAGTCTAGACAGGGATATTTTTAGATAGTTTTGCAGATATTGTCTTGTGACAACCTTGTGATTCCAATTTCAGTAATGCTTTTACTCTACCTAAGTGATTTTGTTGTGTTCAGAATTGTGATGATTCCTGGGCTTTTAAGGTCTCCTCAAGCTTTATTCAACTTATTAAAAAAATGTCTTCAAGGCTTCTTGCTACTTTGGACCTGAAAAGTTAATGTCTCCCTCTGGAATAGTATGTAAATATTTAAATATTTCCTTTATGAAGTCTTCAGCCGTGAAGCAGGTAGTGGCTCAGTGTTAAATACACTGACAGTTTTCTATTTAGCAGCGTGGGAGCTCTGGGGGAGGGAGAGGGCACAGAGAACAGGATGGAGGAAGGAAGGGAGAGGAAACCACTTAAGATTGTAAAGGATTTCCATTTCCCAAAGACAGGCACCCTCCCTCTCACTGTCTCCATGTCTCCTGCTCGCTCCCATACTCCCTCCCTCTCTCCCTCCTGCTCCTGTTGCTCATCTCATTTTCTTTTCTCTCTCTCTCTCTCTCTCT